GAACTTCCAGGTTTCTACAAATGGAGGGATGGCCTGTCCTGCCAGGCACCCTCTATCTGGAAGAGCCATTGAAACACTCCAGCACTGCCTTCAGAGAGAATATTCCACAATAGGTAGGTGGGCCATGCACATTAGGACTTTGTACTGTATCCCCAATAGCATCCTCCTGTGACATCATCTTATTCCAGGTCACTGGATACCCTGATCTACATGGCCCACACATGTGCCGTCCACAACCTGCCACCCAGCATGGGCGAAGGAGGTGTTCCATTCCTATGAAGCTCCAGCCAAACACCCACCACCTTGAGCCCACACCCCCCTCCTAAAAATCTCTGATACTCCAACCTAAGCTGGCAACTCTCAGTCCCCATTTAGACCAGCTGCCTAATGGTGTCCCGGGCTTCTCCAAACATCCGGGCACCCAGGTGTCTCTTACTGAGGGTGCACCAGCCATCCCACTTACCCCTGCCCTGGCAAGGCAGTACAGATTCTTCCAGCTCTGCCTTCAGGGAAAATACATGCCTTTGTGGAGGTTAAGCCCTGGAATTAGGCATATAACAGCCACTCCCAGTAGCTCCCTCCTGTGACCTGACCTTGCCCCTAATTGCCCTGTTTAAGGTCCCTGTCAACTTTGACCTACACGGCTCACAAATGTATAATCCTTACCCTGACGCCTGGCTTTGGTGCTACAGGACCAAAAGCTCTGGACACCAACCACCTGTATGGCCTCAGTGGGGGAGGATCCGCACTTTCATACATCTTTCTGTGGCATCAGCTTTAATGTGAGCATAGCTGTCCCCATTTGTACTGGCTGCCTGATGAGGCCCCAGGGATCTCCAGGAATAGGGGTTCCAGGTGTCTCTTTTTAAAAGATATACTAGCAAGCCTTCCTGGCCCCTCACTGGCAAGGCAATCCAGATTCCTTCACCTCTGCCTCCAGGGGAATATGTACATTTATGTAAGTTCATCTTTATAATTAGGCAGATGCCAGGTGTCCCCAAAAGCCTGCTCTTGTGACCCGGACTCTCCTGACACGCCTGTTCCAGGTGCCTGGCTACCCTGACCAACTCGTCCCATGGATGGGTAATACTTCAAAAGCTGTCCAAAAGTATGGTCCCCCAAGTCTGTGGATCTATAGCCCACTCCCAACCACCTACATAGCCTCAAGGGTGGAGGGAGCCACCCCCCCCCCAAATTATTCTGAAGCAGCCACCTCAATGGGCCATAGACAGTCCCCATGTAAACTTACTGTCTGCTATTGTCTCAGGCTTTAGCAGCCATCAAGTTTCCCAGATGTCTCTTATTGGAAGATACGCAGGCCAGCCTTCCTGATCCAGCCCCGGAAAGGCAGTTCAGATGACTCCAGTTCTGCCTTCAGTGAAAATATGCTCATTTGTGTAGGTTAGGGTTTGAAATTAGGCAGATGCCTTGTAACCCAAAGGTCCTCCTCCTGTGACCCACTGGCATTGCCGAGTGCAGGGACAGCTGGCTAATCTTGACTTGCAAAGCCTGTGCGTGCATACTTCATACCCATCGGAGGGCTTCCGACTATAGAGAGATCTCTAGGTCTATGGAACTCTTCCTGGAATCCAACCACCTCAATGGCCTCCGAGTGGAAGGAGCTTACCCTTCGAAAACTTTTGAGGTGGCAGCTTTAACGTGGTGACAGTCTGTCCCCACTGGCTGCATGATGGGATGTCAGCCATCTCCAGCAATTAACACTCCTGGTGTCTCTTATTAGAGGAGACATCCCTCCCAGCCCTGCCCAGGCAAGGCAGTCCAGATTCCTCCAGCCCTGTCTCCAGGGAGAATATGCTTGTTTCTGTGGGTTAAGCCTAGGTATTAGATGCCAGGATACCCCCATAGCCCCCTGCTGTGACCTGGCCCTACCCACTTCAGGTCCCTGGACACTGACCTTTGCAGCCTGCATGTGCGTGCGCAGTCCAAATGCTGTCAGCCAGTCCCAGTCCTTGTCTGTCAGGGCCTTGTGGAGCTCAAACAGGTCCCCAAACCCCTCCTAGCCTCCAACGTAGAGAGAGCCTACTACCTGAAAATCTTTCTGAGGCTTTCAGCTTAAACTGATGATAGTCCCTATTTGGTCTAACTACTGATTAGGGCCTCAGGCTTCTCCATTAATGAATGTTCCCAGGTGTCTGTGCTGGAGGGAACTCCGGCCATCTGACCCAAGCTTGCCCAAGCAAGATTCCTCCAACCCTGCCTTCAGTGGGAAGGGAAGTGAAAACTGACATACACCAGGCCCCTCCAAGAGCACCTTCCTGCGACCTGGCCTTGCCCAACTCACCCTGTTCCAGGTCCCTTGTTACCCTAACCTGTGAAGCCCGCATCAGCACCCTATTAGCCACCCTTAGCTGTTGGGGCCCTCATGGCTGTGGAACTTAAGCTGGTCCCCAAATACCTGTAGCCTACAGGATAGAGCTCACTCACCCCCTAAAAATACTTGAGGCTCTATCTTAAACTGTCAGCCCCTTCTTGGTCTGGCTGCCTAATGGGATCCTGGGATTCCCCAGTAATCAAGGCTCCCAGGTGTGTCTTATGAGAGAGCCCCTGGCCATCCCAGCCAGCCTGCCCTGATAAAGCATTCCAGCTTTCTCTAGACCTGCCTTTAGGGAAAATACCAGCCTTTGAATAGGTTAAGGCCTGGAATTAGGCAAATGCCAGGTACTTCCAGTGGTCTGCTCTTGTGACCTGGCTTCACAGGACCCTTGCTCTGTACAAATCCCTGGCTACCCTGATCTGACCGGCGCTTGCATACCAAGTACACACACTCCATTTGGAGCTGGGGCCCTCGAGACCGGTAGAGTTAGGGTCCTTGCTCAACAATCTAGCCTCAAGGGTGGAGAGAGCCAACCGCCCCAAAATCGCTCTGAGACGTCCAGTGAACTGGGCAACAATTAGCCCCCATGTAAGACCCAATGCCTGCTGAGGTCCTGGGCTTCTTGCAGCCCCGGGGAAAAAAGAGAGAGCCTGGGAAACAAAGAAACAGACTCTTCACTATAGAGAACAAACTGAAGGTTACCAGAGCGGAGGTGGTGGGGAGGATGGTTGAAATAGGTTGACGGGGGCCAAGGAGTGCACTTGTTGTGATGAGCACCACGTGTTGTATGGAAGTGTTGAATCGTTATATAGTACACCTGAAACTAATATCACGTGGCATGTGAACCGGAATTTAAACAAAAAATATTTTGAAATCCTTACAGAAAAAAAAAATCATCTCTTGAAAAAGATTATTGCCTTTCTTAGTGTCTTTGCTCTTGTAACCAGCTTGGGTTGCTCATAAATATGGACTATGATCAATATTAAAAAGTAGCACAGGTGTTCCACAGTTAATTGTATAAATATAATCACTCACCAAAATCTTAGAAATTGACATCGTGAATCTATTAATACTAACTGTGCTATGAACAAAATTAAGAGTGAGCCCTTTAGTAATTTGATTACTTTTTAATGTATGTGATTCCAAAGAAAAAAAGCATTAAATAGCCAATCCTTATACATGTGAAAGTAAGATTTTCCAAAGGAAATTGTTTTAGGAGATTGAATGCATTTTTTTATATTATCACAGTTGTTTTAAATTCAGTTAATGTAAAATTAAATGTCCAAAGGAAATATTTAAAATATTATTATGATTTATATAAAGCTTTTGGTTTGGAATAATTTTAGATTTATGGAAAAGCCACAAAGATGATGAGGATAAAGTCTTTGTTAATTCGAAAGTAAATGAAGGAATTATGATTAGATTTACTACATAAACATCAAAAAAACAACTTTTGTGGGGCGCCTGGGTGGCGCAGTCGGTTAAGCGTCGGACTTCAGCCAGGTCACGATCTCGCGGTCCGTGAGTTCGAGCCCCGCGTCGGGCTCTGGGCTGATGGCTCAGAGCCTGGAGCCTGTTTCCGATGCTGTGTCTCCCTCTCTCTCTGCCCCTCCCCCGTTCATGCTCTGTCTCTCTCTGTCCCAAAAATAAATAAACGTTGAAAAAAAAAAACAACTTTTGTAAAATAAGTGTATTTGCAACAAATTTTTAGTTTCTCTGTGGTGGTTAGATGAGACTTAAATGTATTAAGTAGGAAATACATGGCTGTCATTTACATAGGTTTTTAAAGTAGGTTATGATTACACAGTGATTCATGTGTTAATTCTTAAAAGTTAAGAATGCAACTAGATTTGATGCAATGCAAAGTTACAAGATATCACCTTAAAATGTTTTTATCTTAATTATGTATATCTTTATTTTTATTTTAAAGTTGTATTTTGGAGAAATTTAAAATGTTCAATCAACTGATTTTAACTATTGTTTGAAATGAACATAAAAATCATAGTTTAAATTTTTTTTAATTTTTTTTTTAACATTTATTTTTGAGAGACAGAGACAGAGCGTGAGCTGGGGAGGAGCAGAGAGAGAGGGAGACACAGAATCTGAAGCAGGCTCCAGGCTGTGAGCTGTCAGCACAGAGCCTGATGCCGAGCTCGAACTCACAGAGCAGACTACGAGATCATGACCTAAGCCAAAGTTAGATGTTTAACCGACTGAGCCACCCAGGCAGCCCTAAAAATCATAGTTTAGACTCTTATTGTTGAATGTTTCCAAAGCCGCCTATTACAACAAAATCATGAAAATGTTTTTCGATCTGAAGATCATCACCCAAGAGGTCTTTATGGTTCTCAAAGTGTATTGTCTTACTTTCTACATATCTTTATTTTAAAATAGCATATCTTATGGTTCAAAGGTAATATATGTTAAAGATAGAAAAATTGGAGAATAAATCTTCTAAATTGGAGAATTTAGAGATAATCTGAATTTAATTATAGTTATTATAAATAGTTCTACTTCCTGCCAACCTTTGTTCTATAAACATTTATTCAGTGTTCAAAGCATAGTGTGCGTGTGTGTGTGTGTGTGTGTGTGTGTGTGCATCTATACTTGTTATTGGACTTTTAAAATCTCTGTTAATGTCATGTTATAATAGTTATGTACCTAATTAGATTCAAATTCCTCTTTATGATTTGTTTGAATTATTACATTTGCTAGAGAGACATCTTGTAGGAGACATGCATTTCATCATTTTTTGGCATATATATCCATTTATCGATAAGCAAAAGTAAATGATAACTACTTACATCTTATTACTAACATAGATATGATATAGGCTTCTATAGGTTTGTGAAGTAATATTATTTTGAAGATGGGTGCATTTTTCCCCATTGCCTCTGAAATGGAGAACTTCAGGCATTCTCAAGAGTTGTGGAGAAATCTTTGAGATAGGAGAAAGATGGATAGAAGCAGGCACTGAAGTGATCTCATCTAACTTCTTGCCACATATATTTCATGAATAGGACACAGCATTTTGGTTCACCAAATTATAATGTAGTGCTTTTAAGAAATGATTCACTTGACTCTCAGATTATAGCAACCACATATTATTTAACACAAATTCTGATTTATGAATAAAAATTGGTTAAGCAATAGTTGAAACAATAACTGAGAAGAACTGGATTCATAATGAAAAATTCAGAATAAATGTACATATTTTAATTTTAGGACTGCATTTTAGCCATTGTTTTTTAAATTTTTTTTTCAACGTTTATTTATTTTTGGGACAGAGAGAGACAGAGCATGAACAGGGGAGGGGCAGAGAGAGAGAGGGAGACACAGAATCGGAAACAGGCTCCAGGCTCTGAGCCATCAGCCAAGAGCCCGACGCGGGGCTCGAACTCCCGGACCGCGAGATCGTGACCTGGCTGAAGTCGGACGCTTAACCGACTGCGCCACCCAGGCGCCCCTTAGCCATTGTTTTTTACACAAGTGGGATATTCCAGTTTCCCTTCCTGACAGGTTATTCGAAATGTGTGATGTGGTGTCTTTTTATGATATCCACTTTTACATACAAATTCAATAATATCTCCTGTTTTAGAATAAAATTTTTTTTCATGTCTCCATCGTAACTGTATGTTATGTTTATCCATGACTTCTTCTGATATCACACATGCATCTGAAAGTATAAAAAAATGAACATAAAACATTAATTAGCATACAAATATTTTCCACAGAATCTCAGACTTTCAAGTAGAATATTCTACATTCGTCTAGGGCTTCATTCTCAAACCTTTCCAAGCCAACTCACTGAAAATCCATCATGTAGATTTAAATCATTTTAAACAATTCAGGATATAAAAATGAGGTGCTGTGTTTAATGTGTAATAATTAAATATTATAATCTAAGATACAAAATGTCAGTTATCACAGGAAGAGCTTTGATTAAAGATCTTTTGTTGCTGTTATTGCTTGAACAAGAATTTTTCCAACTTTATTTTCTCACATGTTAATATTTGGTAGTCAGTCATTCAACAGAACGGTTGCTTGTTAATCCATGAAAATTCTACAAATTCTACAAATACATCATATTCATTACCCAGGATCTATGAGGATGTTAAAATATTTACCCAAGCACTTTGGTGGTTCTGACCACTGTCCATGACTACATATTATATTCTTGTTTCCCTGAAGTTCATAGAAGGACTGGCATTGGTACTCAACTAATGATCCTGGAGCATACGTTGATAATGGGAATGAGGTAATGTCTCCATTGTCGATAGGTGGAGGAGGCCCACATTTTCTTTTAGGGTCTAAAAAAAACGTTGTTTGATTTATTGAAAGACCAAAGGAAAACACAGGTTAAAATAAAGCAATAAAAATATAGTTCAGTATGTAATATCAACACTTCTGATTTCTGATGACATAAATGATTCATTAAAGCAATTTTAATCACTTAAAATGACGGTTCCACTTTTAAGCCCTTCCTTTCACCTCACATGAAAGCATGCATAAAACATTAACAAATATGTCTCCTTTGCATTATTTCAGTATTAAAAAATGCTTTTTTTAGAGAATGTATGCTAAAAACTAGGTAACTTAGATGAAGAAATGTCCTTTTTTAAAAACATATACAACATATTGTAATGTCTATTGGATCTCTAGTCATTTTTTATTGATTTTTTCCATTTTATTACAAAATAAATATCTATCCCTTTGATAAAATTCAAAGAATTACAAATTTGTATAATGTGAAAGGGAACTGCTGGCTTCCTAGTCTGGACATGATGAGGGAAAAACATTTCTGTGTATTCCTTCTGCTAAGTATGACTAAAAATCCTGAACATATTGTAAAAACCAACATAAGACATTGCCTAGGCCTAGCAAGACAGAGACATTTCTTACAATACCTGAATTATTTCCGAGAAACACCACAGAAGAAACCTAAAACCACCCCTTTCTCCATCTTGATCAGCGAAGGCCAAGTAAGGAGCCTAGACTTCTACCCACACTCCTAGGGAATAGGATACCCCTCCCCTTCCCATGGTGTCAGTGGAGGCCAAGTGAGAAGCCTGAACTTGTACCCTGCATGATGGTAGAGAGGACCTAATAAATAAAATATTTCAATAAAATGCAGAATTTTGAAACATAATACCCCAAATGTCCAGAATACAATTGAAAATCATTCGTCAAAGCAAGGACCAGGAGAATCTCAAAAGAGAAAAGAAAATCAACAGAAAAACATACTGATATGACACAGATATTGGAATTGACAATGGTTTTTAAAAATTCAATAAAGCAATAAAAATATAGAGGAATTACAGAACTAAAAATATAACAGAATTCTTTTTTAAACTCACTGGATGGAGGCGCCTGAGTGGCTCCATCGGTGAAGCGTCTGACTTTGGCTCATATCATGACCTCACGGTTCTCGTGAGCTCCAGTCTTACATCTGGCTCTGTGCTGACAGCCCAGAGCCTGGAGCTTGCTTTGGATCTTGTGTCTCCCTCTCTCTCTTCCCCTCCCCCACTCACATTCTGTCTCTCTATCTCTCCCTCTTTCTCTCTCTCTCTCTCTCAAAAATAAACAATAAACATTAAAATATTTTTTCAATCCAAGCTGTGGTCACCTCCATTTTATTTTGCACCTCATTTATAGCATTTTTTAGCTCCTCCTGACTGTTTCTTAGTCCCTTGATCTCTGTAGCAATAGATTCTCTGCTGTCCTCTGTACTTTTTTCAAGCCCAGTGATTAATTTTATGACTATTATTTTAAATTCATTTTCTGTTATATTGCTTAAATCGTTTTTGATCTGTTCGTTAGCTGTCGCTACTTCCTGGAGTTTCTGAGAAACTTAACAGAAGTCCATGGGGGAGGGGAAGGAAAAAAAAAAGGTTAGAGAGGGAGAGAGCCAAAGCATAAGAGACTCTTAAAAACTGAGAACAAACTGAGAGTTGATGGGGGGTGGGAAGGAGGGGAGGGTGGGTGATGGATATTGAGGAGGGCACCTTTTGGGATGAGCACTGGGTGTTGTATGGAAGCCAATTTGACAATAAATTTCATATTTAAAAAAAATAAAAAAATCCAAACTCAAAAAAAATATTTTTTAAAATAAAATAAAAAGTAAAAAATAAACTCACTGGATGGGCTCAGTAATAGATTGCAGATGCAAGAAGGATAAATAAACTTGAATATACAGCAATACAAATTATTCATTTTGGAAGTAGACTGAAAAGAAGCAAACAAAAAAAAAATGGACAGAGCTTCAGGGACCTGCGGGAAGATAGCAAAGAGTAGATACTGAGAAAAAGAAAGAGGAAGGGATTGGAGATGAAAAAATATTTCAAAAAATAATGGCTGAAAATTTCCCAAATTGGTCATAAGACATAAACATATATACCAACAAAGTTGAGAAGTCTCCAAATACGTTGAACCCAAAGAAATTTATGCCAAGATACATCATAATCAAACTGCTGAAAACTATTAAGAAAAGGGGTAAAAAATACCAAAAGCAGCTAGATAGAAATTATGCAAACCTTTGGGAGAGAAAGGACTCAAATATCAGTGGGGTACTCATCTGTGACCATGGACCCAGGAAGAACTGTCAACCCCAAATTCTATACCCAGTGATACTATTCTGTAGGATTTAAGGGAGAAATGAAGACATTCTGAGATAAAGGAAAACAGAGAATTTGTCTTCAGCAGACTTGTCCTTGGAAGACTTTGAAATGAAGGGAAGAAGAATTAAGAATTAAGAATTCTTTGGAATTAAAATTTTGGAATGAAGGGAAAACAATGGAATTAGTAAAAATAGGGGAAATATAACAGACTATCTTTCTCCTAATTAGTTGGTTAAACTATGTTTGGTGTTTGTACAAAATTACATCATTTGATATTATTTGATATTTGAGCAAAACTATATCACATGATGATGTATGCACTGGAAATTCTTAAGAACTTTAATGTGGGGAGAGTAAGTGGACCTATATGGAAGCAAGGTTTCTACATTTCACTTGATGTGATAAGATGTCAATACCAGGCAGAATGATAAGCTATATATGTGCATCTTAATATCTACAGCAACACTCATAAAACTATACAAAGAGATATGCTCAAAAACAATATAGATATATCAAAATAAAATGAATTAAAATGTTCCAAAAAATCCACAGGGAAGTCAAGAAAACAGGAATTAGAGACACAGGAAACACACACAAAACAAACAAGAAAATGGCTTACATAGTGCCCCATCGATCAATAATGACTTTAAATATAAATGGTTTAAATACTTCAGTTAAAAGACTGAAAATGGTAAAGTGGACATATAAACAAGACCCAACTGTATGGCATCTAAAAGAAACTCACTTCAAACATGGTAACATAGGTGGGCTCAAAGTAAAAGACTGGAAAATATATGTGGCAGGCAAAGGTTGATTTGAAAAACTACAAGTGGCTAATATAATATCTCCTTAGTTGGCTCCCTTTATTTCCTGAACTCTAAATATTAGTGTGTCCTATGACCAAGTTCTCAGACTTCTTTTTAGGTATACAGTAATTCCCTGGATAAGCTCAGCTAGTAATCTATCTTGAAATATAATCCACATGTTGAAGAAGCCCAAATTTATATCACATTCTATGATCACACACCAGCTGCCTATTTCATGTCTCAAAGTGGAATTTCTTGGGCTGTCAAATGTACTTAAAGTATCTCTAATACACTTATTCCTCAGGAAATAACTCTCTTAATACTTATGATAGGAGAATTTTCCATGATTCCAACTGTTCTTTTAATCTGGACATTTTATAAAACAAATATACTATATTACTTAGTTCAGTCTGAAAAAAAAACTGGATTTTAAGTACCATCATTTTATTTGTATTTTAAAGATATTCCATAAGAACTACTACACTACATATTTATAGCAACATATTTTATCTTTAATATGTTCTCTAAACTTTGGATATGAAATAATAAATAATAAATATGGAATGATATAATCTTCTCTTTGAGTTTAGTAAAATAAATATTATAAATTATATAAACCTTAAATGAATTTATAAACCACAAGAAAATTATTTTAAAAAGATTATTTGACATCAGAGTTTGGTTTATAGTCATCCTGTTTTTGAATTGTAATTTTGGCCCTTAGTAAAATAGATACAAGTAGTCAATTCCTTAAAGGCTAAATCAAGAATTTATTTACTTTAATTAAGACTTGGACATATTTCATTTGAGGCAACATGTATGGACCTAAAGGGTATTACGCTATGTGAAATAAATCAGACTAAGAAAGACAATTACAATACTATTACACTCATAACCAGAATCTAAAAAAAAAAAAAAAAAAAAAAAAAAGATTAACAAACAAAAAGCAGAATCAGAACTATAAACAAAGAGGACAAACTGATGGTTGCCAGAGGGAAGAGGAGTGGGAGGTTGGGTAAAAAGGATAAAGGAGAGAGGGAAATACACACATGCCTCTGGTTATGGAATAAGTAAGTCACAGGAATAAAAGGCAAAGCATAAGGAATACAGTCAATGACACTGTGAAAATAATGTAATGTGACAGATGATAGCTATACTTGTGAACATAGCACAATGTATAATCTTGTTAAATCACTTAGTTGTACTCTTAAAACTAATGTAACATTGTGTGTCAAGTGTACATACATACATATATATAAAGTAGACTTTCTGTAGAAACTGACAAGGTGATGTTAAAACTCAAAGAAAATGAAAAAAAAAAACTCAGAGAAAATGGAAAACAGCTAGAAAAGCAAAAACAGTTTTAAAAATTAATGTTAGTTTTCTACTGCTGCTACAAAAGAAACCCATATATTCAGAGGATTAAACAATACTAACTCATTGGGCACCACTGGGGAGGCCATTATTCTGCCTTCCACAATTAAGAACAAATTGGAGGACTCGCACCACAGTAATCAAGGAAGGGCATAAAGCTATGAGAATAAATATAAATATTAGTGCAAAAGACTAAAAGTACAGAAATTGACACAAACACACTTCTCCTATATTCAGTGGACTTTGACAAATATGACAAGATATTCAGTGAGTAAAATGATACCACTCCCAGCAAAGTGGGTAAAACAACTGAAAATCTGGATGAGAAAAAAAGAAAAAAAGATGAACCCTATTCCATACACAAAATACCTGAAAATCAATCACAGACATGAATGTAAAAGTACATACGTAAACTTTCTGTAAAAAAAAATATGATAAATCTTTGCAACTTTGAAGTTGGAAAAAATGTCCTATGTAGACCACAAAATAAAAAAATTAAAAAATTGATCAACT